TGTTAGAGAATCAGTTATTATCACCTAAAATATAAACAAAATCTAACTAAATGGTTAAAAGTTATTCGTTTTTTAAAAAGAATTTTCTTTAATGTTTGATGCCCGGTAAAATCCACAATTTTGAAAATTTTTTAAATCTTTTTTTCCTATAATCTTTTTACACTTATGTATGCTATAGAGACATTTATACTTTGAATTTTGGATTAACAATGTAGGATTATATTCTACAGATGACAAACTAACTTTTAAAGCAATGAAAAAAATTGTAAAAAAATTTCATTTTACACGAGTTCCCCCTTTATATGTTAAGAAAACGAATAGCAATAACATCTCCAACTATTGAATTTATAGATGTAATTTTCAAATTGTACGGTAATAATTCGTAGGTATAGGGGAGACCGGAGCGTAATGAATAATTACAATTTATTAAAAAATCCTAAATCGAAATACTTTTGCTCCATATATAGTAGTGATGGGACATCGAAAAATCGATGTTTTTCCTTCGAGGTCGATGTTTAAAACCTCGATGTTTTCGATGTATTTAGGTTTTTTCTCGATGTTTGAAATCGATGTAAATTAAATGGGGAGAAGAGGTTTTTTAAAAATATTTTCTTTATTTTTTGCCTCTAACAATTTGTGTTTTTTTATCTTATAAATTTTGCTTTTAAAAATTACCATTTTATCTTAAATCTTTTTAAAATCTACTTTAAATGTTATTATAATTTTATAAATATATTTTTTGAAGAATCAAAAGGAAGTGTGAAAAAAACATCGGAACATCGAAACATCGATGTTTTCTTTTCGATACATCGATGACATCTATGTTATGAATTTTCGATGTCAATGTTTCACAACATCGATGTCCCATCACTAACTTAGAGAGCTTCCTGGAATAATAATCATCTTTGCAGAGATTTAATTATTTCGCTATATTTCTTATTGGATAAGAGGGTCTAGGTAGCGCCCTGGCTCTTCACCGAGACGATCCTCGTAGAGCAAGCGAGATCGATTCTCCTTGTTAAGTGCACGAACATTGTCGCTCCCAATAATAATAATCGGGAAGTAAATTCATGACCAGCTTCGGGAATGATTAAAGACAGGACAATTAATTCATTAGCTTCTTAGTTATTCTTTATTTTATAATTGTTCTTTTATTTATTACAAACTACACTTTCTTACGAAGGTTTAATTATCGCGGAAAGAAAAGGTCTGGAAGAGATATCCATAAAAATATTGTTGAGCAGAATATTGTTGTGTTATCCAATTCAATGGAAGAGACAACTTTCAGAATGGAAGCACATTCCATATTCAATGGATGAGGGAGCCATATTATATTGTTGAATCAAATATGGATGTGACATCCATAGGCATGGTTGGGCTTACAATTCATGCTATGGATTTTCACATATGGCTACCTCATCCATATAAACTTTGGTTGGGAGATCCATAGTTAGTTCAAAATTTCGATACATGTTGCGCGCAATTCATTATCATGGCATCCATTTAAAAATGGTCGTCTCAATTTGTCCGTCGCGTCGGTTTCCTGTCACGTCTATATAATCACGTTGTGAGTTTATTGTGTATAAATAGTGTTATAATTGTTTATTATTTATTATCATTATTGTCTATTAGTTTTTATGTAAATTCATTTTCATGAAATATGTGTAGAGCATATAAAGATTATTATATGCTCAAATATTGTAGTTGCGTGTATAGTGTAGTGGATAGCGTTAGTGTTTAGTATGCGTTAGGTCTAGGGTTCGTGTCTCCTCCATCGGTTAATAATTTATTTCGTTAATATGCGGTTATTCAATAAGTGGTGTGCATTAATTAACAAAAATGTGTATAAAATATCTCAAGTGACATTGAATTTAATTAATTGAGTGATTCCAATTTTTTGTTTCACATTTCCATTACTATGGATCACCCAACAATAGATCTTTTGCTGCTCCAACAATATACAGCCAGCCATAGAATATGGATGCAGCAACCTTAACTATGGATATCCCGTATTTTTCAATATAATATGGCTGTGATATCCATGTATCTGGATGTGTCAACTATTCCTTTTTCTCCGTGCGCCTTATTAATACATTACATTTTCCCGAAAACATTTTCCTGAAAGATCTTTTCACGAAAGATAAATTTCCCGAAAGTCAAAAATCTCGAATACCTTTTCCCGAAGAATTTTTTCACGAAAATATAATCCCGAAGAACTTTTTCCCGAAATTCATAAAATAATCGTCATTTTTGAAGTTCTTACCTTGTTACCTGGCAACGGTCTACGTTTATTTGTTTTAACATTTACTTTCATATTTGTCATATTTGTTCTGAAATAAAGTTTTCCAAATTTATAAGTATTTTTAAAAGTCAAAATTTTCAAGTAATTTTAATTAATTTTTATTATATTAAAATGGAGAGTTCAGGAAAAATTGTTGGTGGTAAATTACATGTGGCCGGTTTTAGTTATTTGAAGTCCAGAGCAGCAAAGGGAAAAACATATTGGGATTGTAAGAAAGTTCGTGGAAAGGAGTGTATTGCAAGGGCTATCACTTGCTTCGATAGTGCAGGAGAAGTTGTAGTTTTAAAAGGTCCAAACAAATCAGTCCATCAACATGTGCCAAATCAAGAGGAATGTAAAGCAGAAGTTGTCAAATATATTTGAAACGGGGTGCAGAAGAACATCCGGAGCAACCCCTGGCCCAGATTTTAAGAACACAATTATCTGAACTATCTGAAGGGGTTTTAAGTCAACTACCAGAAAGAGAGAATTTAAAAAAGGCAATGCGAAGAGAACGCCGAAGAAATTTACCACCTAACCCTACATTATTGTCTGACTTGGAAGATCTTCCTGACAAATATCAACATACTGTTACTGGTGAGAAGTTTTTACTGTATGATTCGAAAAGCGATACTCAGGATGGAAGAGTTCTTGTGTTTTCAACACATAGAAATTTAGAATTATTATGTCAAAGTGATTGCTGGTTTTTAGACGGAACGTTCAAGGTACACATTATTATTTTTTTATTACTTATTACTTTTAATATTATTATTACTTTCAGTATTATTATTATTTTTCTATTAAATTTAAGTGTCTCCTACAATATTCACTCAAGTTTTCACTATACTTGGAACATGCAGGAGAAGTTCTCGAAATCTAAATTCAAGTATTCCTGAGTCTCCAGTTTCCTTACCGTTTGTTTATGCTCTTTTATCATCTAAGGAAACATATCAGTATGCTGCAGTTTTAAGATCTGTCCAATCTGCTATAGACACGTACAGAATTAATTGTTTGCCACGCAGAATAACGAGTGACTTCGAAAAAGCCATCATTAATACCTGCCACGAAATTTTTCCGGATGTTCCTTTGCAGTACTGCTTTTTCCACCTCGGACAATCTGTTTATAGAAGGATTCAGAGCGTAGGATTGCAGGAATTGTATAATAATCCTAATGATCGGACATTGAAAATTAACACTCACATGATTCTAGCGCTTGCTTTTGTTCCTGTAGCAGAAGTTTTGTCCACCTTTCTTCTCTTAAAAAATAATTTTACCGAGAACTTACTTCCGATTCTCACTTACTTTGAAGAAAATTATGTTGGCCGAGCAGCGAGAGGCAGAAGGAGAGCTATTGTTCCGCGATACGCTATACAGCTTTGGAATGTTTATGATGCAATATTGACTGGACTTCAAAAAACAAATAACATTAGTGAGGGTTGGCAGTTGGCACAACCGTTTCCAGATTCTGGTTGGAAAACATCATCTAGATTTATATTCTGCGTTAACAGAGTTCCAGAAGGAACAGGCAGACTCAGAAATAATTATTACTGAACTCAGTTTGGGAAGAAGAGTCAAAGCACAAGCTAAAAAAAAGTGGATAGAATTTCAAACACGGCTGAGAGCAATTGCATTAGAGTATAATGAGTACAAAAACGAACAACGTGATTTGGATTATTTGCGTGCAATTGCTCATAACGTTGTCCTATAATTTTTCGAAACTTCGGTGAAATAAAAATAAGAATTGTAAAAAAAATAAAATTTTTTTTCGTGAACAATAGTTTTCGTGAAAAAAGTCTTCGGGAAATGGTATTCGACATTTTTGACTTTCGGGAAATTTATCTTTCGTGAAAACATCTTTCGGGAAAATGTTTTTGGGAAAATGGGTGGATACCCTAAATCATATAGTATAAAACTCTAATTATTATAATTAACTGCTAAATAAGGTACCCGGACCCCATTCGACGAGTGGATCCTATTTGCAATAAAAGTTCAGTTTATTACAAATTTCATAATATATAGACTTCACTTAACAATGTAATTTAAACTTATAAATAGTGATTTTCACTCATTATTCATTACGCCCCGGGTGATTATCCATCACGCCTCTGCTTGGGGCGTTTACGTTTACGCTAAAAAAAAGATAGATTCTGTTAGTCTATAAAAAAATGTAGTCTTTGATCGTTGGAATTAAAAAATATCATTTTTTGACAAAATGGCAGCAAAAAAAAAGTTCATTTTTATGAAAAAAAATCGTCTTCAAATGTTGATTAAAATTATAATTTTATTTAAAAAACCTACGATCAAGGACAGCAAAGAGTAGTTGTTGAGCTTGTGGGAAAATTAGAGCTAAATCGGTTCAGCGGTTTTTGAGAAATCGTGTTCACCGACTTTAAAAACATAGTTTTGAGAAAAGCGAGTTTAAAGACGCTGCACCTGCTCTACACCTCACGGCGCGCCTTTCTAGTTTTGTCTGCAACAATTCGAAAATATTTCTCGAATCTTAATAAAAATTTTTGTCACAACAGGCAAATATATTATATACTTTAAGAAAATGCAAAAAAAAATCGATTTTTTGAAAATCGTGACTGTATATAACCCCTTAACTAAAACTGATTTTAATACTTGATAAAAAACCTTCAAAAGAATTATGCAGTGTTTTGTCCTAGAAAAATTGAAAAAGGTTACTGAAAATTTCTCAAAACAAAATTCAATTTTTCAGAGAGAAAGTTGCTATCCCATGAACATCCACACACCTTGTACATTCAGAATTATTCAACGGCTAGTGCAACTTGCCTATGCATAAGGAGATGGCTCTTTAATATTTCAAGACCCCTCAGTGAGCAAGCATTAACGTGGATATTTTGGCAAACTGTCGATGAAGTTAATAGAGGACATATTTCCGCGGGCGAGAGACTCTATCAACTCAAAGCATTGCAAGATGCTTCAAGAAAACACGAGGTAAAATTCACGACTAATTCCTTGCAAAATTTCTAATTTTCTGACATAAAAATTTTATAAATTTAGTTAATTAATAAATATTTACGACCCAAATCATATCATTTACTACATATTTTGAAAAATCTATAACACAAATTTATTAATTATTAATCCAACTTGTTACACTGAGAAAACTGGAGTATTAGACTAAACATCTGGAGGGACAAATCGTTCATATTTGAGAGTTAGCTATTGGATAACAATCTAAATGGTCAAATACACCATTGACAGATATTCGTGCCATTTCTCTTGGAGGGAAAATGAGTTTATAACAGAGGGACAAATTAACCATCTTGAGAAATCCCTTCCTTATCCGGCGCGAAATGAATAAATATGGCAACCTAACCCCTAAATTAAATACATAAAATGTCAGAAAAATAATTTCGCGCGCATCAGATCGTACACATTTTCTGCGCAACTTTTAACCCTCAGATATAATGGGAGAGAATATACAAGTAGATTTCCATTAACAATTCAAAATATATTTTAGAAGGACTATTTAACTCTCTTCATAAGCAAAGGAAACATACACTTTTTGAACCTCTAAATTTGACTCTTCAGTTTTCTCAGTATATGCTTATAATATGGATATAGTAAAAGCTTTGATTTTTGCACTTATAATATAGATTGTAAGATGTTTAAATATAGATATACTCAGAAAAAGGATTGAATAATATATTCAATTGGTTGTATTTTATAGAACTCGATCAAATAAATTGGTTAAGACATACGAATTTCGCGTCTGCGCAAAATGTTTGCCACAGCGGTGTAGTAAAAGGGGTGGAGTTCGTAGCAACCGTTATAAACAGACGTGTATTTTTTTCACTAAAATTAATTTAAAATGACTTAAATATTTTTTCGATAAAAGTTTAGTGTTCATTAATTTGAAAACAGGCGATTAAGTTTCGCTTTATTTTGTGTTATAAGTTATTGTGTTTTTTTTACTATTCGTGTTAGTTTTCTCAATTCGTATTCATGTCTAGCGGATATAAGTGATATAACCGCTTTGGCGCTGTGTCGCTTCGCGCATTCTCTTACGAAGACGCGCATTTTTTTGAACATTTAATATTCTCTTTTTTTCGTTACCGTGTTTAATAATTATTTTCGCTCATTATATTGAACGTTTTTGATAATGTGTGACGCGCGCTATCGCATCATTCCTCCAAAGAATTCCAAAAATACTGCGCATCGTTCTTCGAGTTTTTCAAAAAGAATGGCATCGGATTCTTCTTTTTCAAACTCAGAATATAAAAAAAAACAAAAATGTCAGATAAGTCATCTGTCAAAACAATTGACTCCTCTAACACAAATGTCATCGACGACTTAGACAAGGAAATTTATTCACATCTCTCTTCCAAAATTACTAATCCTTTGCTTACATCCCGATCTTTCACGGTCACCGAAGGTCCAGATCGTTTTCGCAGATACCCTGTTTCTCAACAGGGTTTCAGCAAACTTTGTGTTACTTTGGAAACAGCATCTGACACCAATAAATTATTGAATGATAACATCCTTCTTAATAATGGCCTCTTTACTTTTATTCCTGCTAGCTTTTGCACTTGTCAAGGTGTCATCCGTGATGTCCCACTTGACATAACTGACAAAGAAATTAAAAACAATATTTCTTTCTTAGGCTCTACAATTGGTTCTTCAGCTATTCTGGAAGTTCGTCGTCTCAACAGAAGGGTTAAAAAATCAGATTCTAACGAATCTGAATTAAAACCTTCTTTTTCTGTCCTTATCACCTTCCAGGGTATTTGCCTACCGGAAAAGGTTGCTCTTTTTCACGTCTCCTCCCAAGTTCATCCTTACACACCAGCCGTTAAAATATGTCACAAATGTCTTCGATATGGTCACATCTCGAGTCAATGCCGTTCATCACAGAGATGCTCTCACTGCGGTGAATCGCACTTAAATACTGCAGATAATCCATGTCCCTCAGTGAAAAATCCTCCCGTTTGTATCCACTACAAGGGTCCTCATTCTGCTAAATCCAAAGAATGTCCAGAATGGCAATTCCAAGAAGATTTTAGATCATATGCTGCAAAATAGAACGTAACATTTAAAGAAGCCAAATCATCAATAAAACCATCTTTCAATCAGAAAAACTTTCCAGACAGTTTAGCACTTCTACATCTTCTTCCTTTCAAAATGTTTCGCAACCCTCTCCTCGCTGTTTTTCTCAAATCATTCAAACTCCAGTATTTCGTGCTCCACCAAAATTATATTCTCAACCTAAAAAACTCAAACTCAACTTCGATCAAATCCTTCATCGGATGCCTCTCTTTTTAACAACGGAAGATCTGAAATTTCTCTTCCAAACGGCTTTAAACTTAAACGCCCCACATCACTCTCTTCGAATCTTCAATCACCCAAATCCAATGATAACACCTCGGACTCCTCTAACCCTGTACATCTTATCTCTATTTTAACATCTCTTGTTGATCAACTTTCTTCTAACTCTCCTTCATTAGCAGTTAATACCCACGACACAATTGCCAATCTTACTCGTAGCTTTTCTTTATTATCTCAATCTCTTCTATCATTCTACAATGTCTTACACCACTAACTTAAAAATTAAGCAGTGGAATTGTCCAGGCATTATAAATAAAAAAGGAGATCTTTTAAATATTTTAAATAACTTTAATATTCTTATTTTATCAGAAACCTTCAAAAAAACTTTTACTTAAAAAATTTTAATATTATCAGATCAGACAGATGAATCAATAAGGGTGGGGGCTTAGCCATCGCTATTAGAAACAATATTAAATTCTCTAAGGTAAATACAAGCCTCAACATCGAAAATAGTCTAGAAACCTTATCAATCTCGATTAGCATCTCAACTGGAGAACTGTTAATAGTCTCGGTATATAGAATTCCTTCATCTAATAATAAAATCTCTGATAACACATAGTCCAAACTCTTCAACTCTATCCAAAATGTCAACAATTCTTTTGTTTTAATAGCGGGTGACTTTAATTGTCACCACTCTTGTTGGGGCAGTTCCCATAATTGCTTCAATGGCATTGGTCTCTGTAATCAACTCGATTTATCAAATTTTATATGGTTAAACAATGGAAAACCTACTTGTCGAAGTAGACCTAACAATTCAGATTCAATGCTAGATCTTTCTTTTATTTCCTCCGATCGTTTCTTATCATCTTCCTGGGACATTTGGGACGACACTCTCGGAAGTGACCACTTTCCAGTCATTACAAACCTTGGTGTTTCAATTCCAATCTCCTATTTCTTCTCTCACAAATATAATTTAAAAAATATATCCTGCTCAATATTTTCTCACGAACTATTAACATTCAGAGATATCAATCAACTTTCTTCTTCAACTCCACATTCCAATGGCTTAGACAATTATAATTTATTCACCGAAGGAGTCTATCATGCAATCAAACTTGCATATTCCCCCTCTCCCAGACATCACTCAAGATCACCATCAAATTCCACTAGAAAGAAACCGTTCATTCCTGCTCCATGTAATGAAGCTGTCTTAAAAAGAAAATCAGCTTTACGTACTTATAGACATACATGTAACTTTGAAAATTACAACCTTCTTAAGAAATCTGAAGCAGAATGTATAAAACTGTTTCAACATTATAGAAGAGAATCATTTAAAAAGTTTTGTGAATCTTTAGACAGAAACACTCCAATTTCTAGAGTTTGGAGAGTAATCAAATCATTTAAAAATAGATTCACCAAGCCATTTTCATCCTCCTGCTTAGTGATGGGACATCGACATCGAAAACATCGAAACATCGATGTGTTTCCTTCGAGGTCGATGTTTAAAACCTCGATGTTTTCGATGTATCGAAGTTTTTTTTCAATGTTTGAAATCAATGTAAATTAAGTGGAGAAGAGAGGTCTTTTGAAAAATATTTTCTTTATTTTTTGCCTCTAACAATTCGTGTTTTTTATCTTTTAATCAATTGCTCTTATCGATTTGTAAATCTTTAAATTTTGTTTTTGTTGGTTAAATTTGCCCCTCTTTAGCACTTTTGCCTCATTTTCCCCTAAATTTTTATTTAAATCAGTCAATATCATAGGTTTTAACTTGCCTAAAATGTTAATTATCCTAATGTGCGTTTAGCACATTAGGATACACATTATTAACTATAAAATGCTATATCTGTCTTAATATATTAATTAATACGGATAATTACTAAGAAAAGGGCGAAGATACGTCTATTCTTTTGTTACTAATAGGATTTTCTGTAATGATGGGACATCGACATCGGAAACATCGATGTTTATAACCTCGATGTTTTAATTTCGATATTTTCGATGTATCGAGGTTTTTTTCCGATGTTTGATATTTATGTGAATTAAGTGGGGAAAAAAGGATTTTTTTAAATATCTCCTTTTTTGCCTCTAACAGTTTGTGTTTTTTATCTTTTAAACAATTGCTCTCATCGCATTGAAAATCTTTAAACACAAATTGTTATAGGGGAGCGTGGGGGAATTGGAGCCCCTTAAGGAAAATTATTAAAAAAACCAACTTATCTTTATAATAATACATTGTTTTCGTCATTTTCTACTCATTTCGTTATTTATCTTTAATTATGTTTAATTAGAAACTTAAAAAGAGAAAGTAAATTGGAAAAAAAATTTAAAAAAAATACATTTTTTGCAATCACACAATTTGTGGGGTATTGGGAGCTTTCACTTGAAATTTAAAAAATTTCTATTCTTTAGGAATATTTTTTGTTTTATAATAGAAAAAGTGTTAATACTTACAATGAAGCCAAAACTTTAGACTTAGAATAAACTTTTTCCTAAATTTTAATTGAATAAAAAATTTTTGAAAAAAATTTAATTTTTTATTTTTTCCACGAAAAATTATTTTTTAATTAAAAGTTTTTTCATAAGGTGATATCTTTTACAATTTTGAAAGAAATAACGAAAGCCGTAACATAGTAACGAAGATTCTTTGGGCTGACACTAATTCT